ATTTTAAAATTTGTATAACATTTGGTATTTTTAAAGAAAATTCTGTGTTATGAAATGTGAAATTCATTGTCAAATATAACTTGAAGAAGCAGGAGAGCCTAATTTTTATACTATAAACATCAAGAGTAACTAATAAAATTTTTTTTAATTTTTCATCACAAAAGGAAAATGATTTTCTATACTTTGAGTTAAGTATTGATTGTTGTGGTCTGTAATGACTTGGCTTTCTGAGTCTATTATTTTTTATTTTATTATGAAGTATATATCCCTTCCATTAACATCTGGCAAACAACATATGAAAGTTATTTTATTTACCAGTAATATGTTTATTAAAAAATCATCAAGTACTAATGGTATGTTTCCTTCATGTTTACCATGTAAATGTTTTTAAATATCCTATATTAATTCTCCCAGTAACTTTGTTACTTATCTTTAATTTTACTTCATGGCTAATGAATTCAAGATACTGTGTGTGTTGGGCATTTATGCAGCACATACAAACCATAATACATTTTAAATCACATTTTCCCAGTCTTAAAATTGGCACAAAATTGTTAAATGATAAATTGACATGAATAGCTTAAGAAACTGAATTTAAAACAACGTAATATATATTATTGATGTGTGTGATTCTGCTTCCCAAAATGACAGAGTTATACTCAAGACATACATTTGTGGTCATTGACATTAGAATTTTGAGTAAGAAGCAATGTAAAACTTTTTTTTTTTTTTTTTTTGGTGAGACAGAGTCTCGCTCTGTCGCCCAGGCTGGAGTGCAGTGGCCGGATCTCTCAGCTCACTGCAAGCTCCGCCTCCCGGGTTTACGCCATCCTCCTGCCTCAGCCTCCCAAGTAGCTGGGACTACAGGCGCCTGCCACCTCGCCCGGCTAGTTTTTTGTATTTTTTTTTTTAGTAGAGACGGGGTTTCACCGTGTTAGCCAGGATGGTCTCGATCTCCTGACCTCGTGATCCGCCCATCTTGGCCTCCCAAAGTGCTGGGATTACAGGCTTGAGCCACCACGCCCGGCCTTAAAACATTTTTATGTCTATTTTCATACAGGATAGAGCTGAGGTACTGTAAAGCCGAAAATGTAAATCTCTTGTGAATCTTTCAAATTTTAATTTAACATGCTCTTACAACCAGTAAAATGATTCCCAAATTGAAACAAAAAAAGCTATGTTGGTGTATTTTCATATTGTGAGTAAGGCAGACTGGTTTTCTCCTATCTGCTCTGTCACTTTGTTAGTTGTGAAGTGATCTTTAAAGAAGCACAAAGATAATGTTGTTTTTCTGTAATCTTTCTCCTTCTTTCCTTTATAATTTTTCCAATGCTATTTTGTTAAGCATACTGGCTTTGGCAAGCCTCTATGATAACACTTTTATTTGTATTAGGAGCTGGTTGTATGTTCAAATTTAAAGCTACAAACACTGCAAGCTTTAGACATCAAGTACTGTTTGTGAGGTCACCTCTGACATTTAATACTAATGATATCCTTTGCGATTTCAAATAGAGAATATGTTTAGAGAAAAAATTCAAGAGGTCCAACATTTCATTCATATGAGACATCATTCTGCGGTCAGAAATAATGTCTTTTTGTTTGGAATTAGTGACTGTGAAATAATTCCAGTGAAATTAACTAAGACCTATACAGACAAAAGTAGTTTTCATATCGACATTAAAGTTGGATTATACAGACTAGTACCCATTATGACTTTCCTTTGCTATATTAACATTATTATATCTGTAATTAATAAAAAATTTTTCTGCTTGTATGGGATGTGTTAATATTAATAAATTAGCTGGGCAAAGAATCTTCTCTCATTTCACATGCTCAGTTAGTATATTGCATAATTAAAATCTAGAGGAGCTTTCATTGTATAAAGCATGTGGGACTATTTACTCTTACATGGCACTCTGATAGTGCTTGGTTTTATTATGTGGGAAGAGATATTCTTCCAAAGATGGGAGTATTGTCTGTGTTGGCTGCTACTTCCAAGCATTTCATTCTCATGTGGTTATTTCTCACAAGAGAAAAGACTGGTTTCAGCTGTCAGGGACACATCTTCATAAGAGCCATCTTTCCCAGAAATAGACTGGAGTTGCACAAGACTGTATCTTTATAAATTGTGATTGGTCAGAAGTTGAGACAAAGATTTTGTCAGATAATATTTTTGTTGAATTTATGAAACCAATTTTCCTTTAATACTCTTTATATTTATCTCTATAACAACATTAAACCTTTCAAGGATAAAGCTGCTATAAAAATTGATTTGCTACAAAAAACTCCACGTTCGTGTCAAACCACTTATTACTATTGTTAAGTAAATGTGACTATTCTCCATGAACCCTAAATCCCAAAATTTTTAAGTGCCTTAGCTGAGTATACAATCATTCCTAATTCAACTATGTCTTCACATCAGCTTAAAATGAATTTAAACAGCAAGGGTGTAAGTCATTATGTTACATTTTTCTGCCCAGCTAGCATGTGAAAAAACTGAAATATAAAAATATGAAAATACAAAAATATGAAATTACACATGCACATGGCTGTTTATTAAAGCTGTAACTGTGAAAGCAAAAGACTAGAAACAACTAACCATCCATAGGGCATTAGTGGAAAAAACTATCATCAAACTATGAAATATAATGCTATTCTATTATAAAATAGAATGCAGAACTCTCTTAGCTGCTGTGGAGTAAAAGTGAAGAAATGTTAATTGAAAAAGGTAATATACATAATAGTACATAGTATGCTAATTTTATGTAAGCAAGAAAAGAATATACTTATATTTTCAAAAATAAACAATGGAAGGATAAACACAAACTTAGTAAAAATGGTTATCTCTAGATTGGAGTGAGAACTAGGGACATTCTAGACTTGTGAATGGTGTTTTAAATTTTGACCTTAGAATCATGTAAATATTTTTTGCAACTAAAACATGAACATTAATCACAAAGCAAGACCTGAAAAATTGTTTCAATTAACTGAAACAAACCTAATTGTATATCAAATTAATAGCATAATTATGCAGAGAATTATTTCGTGACTTTAAAGCACAGTATTTTAGCATTTCAGCAGTGGAATAAATCCTAAGGTCAAAGACCATAACAAAATTTTAAACTGTGTTAATACATCTTGTTATTAATAGTAATGTTTGTCCTGTTATTTTGAAATTAATACATATACATATTAAGAAAAACAAATACTTTTGGTCATATCATTAGAGCCTAAGATTTTTAGAGTAAGAAAAAGGATATACAAATATAAAATAAAAGACTTTTAAGATCCTAAAATCTTTAATTTGGTTGGTAGTATCAGCATAAACTCATATTAACTGTTTCCTTCTAAAAGCATGTACTTTGTATCTCACATACTGAAGAGGTTCAGAAGCATTGACAATTCAGTAGCAATGAATACCCCTAGTACCCAGATTGTTGTCTATAAATATTATTCTCCATTATGAAGAGCCTGAGTTCTTTGGAGAAATGGCTGATTTCAGGTCTGGGACAGAAACTGTTCAAGATGATCCTACAACTCTTATTAAGCCATAACTACTGGGGATTATATTGAAAGGCTATAGGAATCAACTTCAAGAGGATCCCACCACCCAAAAATGAAACAATTGAAGCATCAAAATAAGAAAATGACTACCATGGACTGGAGTACATTAAATAAACAAATATTCATGAATTCATAATGACCATCTTTGGTCACCTTTGGACCAAAATTGATAAAGGGAAAGAATCAAACATCTATTGTGACTTTCCTATATAGGCTGTATTTCACAGTCACTGAATAGTCAATGAGGAAATGTTCTTCATTATAGAAGAATCAGAGCTAATAAATGCAGGAAGAATGATAGAGTATCACCATTTTACAATCTCTAATGAAATAATGGCTCAAAGCAACAAACAGTGTTGCTAATTTGCTAAGTGAAAGATTGATGGGGAACTTTCTAAGGGGTCAGACTGACTCACCTTGTCCCCACTGATCAATCTTAACCACTAAAAGTAGGAAACGTGCATCCTGATATGATGTAATAGGAATGACACAGCATCATTTATGATGTATTCTTCACCAAAAGAAATTGAACCTTAATGTAATTAAGCCTTTGGGTTTCACTAGTGGTTTACACAAAACATGGGAAATAGAGGAACATGTTAAATAATATCATGAGAATAAAATCAGCCAGATCCAGAATCTAGAAATTTTACAAGATACATGATTCAGATTCTTCAGTGAATAAATGGCAATGAAAGGGAAAGGCAGTGGACTGTAAGTGATAAAAGGAGACGTAAGGTACTTATCAACCCAGTGCAATGTATAGACCTTGTTTGGATCCTATTTCAAACAAACCAACTATAAAGATACTTTTTTACAATCAGTGAAAATCAAATATGGAATATTTATAGATGTAATCAAATTAAGGAATTATAGATAATATTTTTAGTTGTGAAAATTGTCAAGTTGTTGTTCTTTTTATTTAAGTTCTTATCTGTTGGAGATGCCTACTAAAATATTTAGGGATAAAATGGTATGATGCCTGGGATTTACTTTTAAATATATCAGATCCACCCAAAAAAATTGAGGTGGATATAGATAGGTTGATTAAATAAGAATAACAGAAAGTTAATGGTTATAGAAGCTGAGCATTGCATACAGGTGGATTCACTGTGCCCTTATTCCTTTTATGTGTATTTCCATGATAAAATGTTAAAGTTTAAGAAAAAGCCCCCCCACCAGATTAGCTGAGATCATTATAGCAGTGCCTTCTTAGCAGTGTTTTAGGTTTTGAGTATGAGTCTTAATTCATAGGAATATTGTATTTGTGGATCTCAAAACAAAAGAGTTTCTTGTTGTAGCTTAATTTATAATGTCTTTTTAGCCAATTAAATTTCATAAGTAGTAAAATTTCTTCATAGAAAGAACATTGCTTAGGTATGGCGTTATTAACATGCTTACACCAAAATACACTGACATTATACCCTCTTTTTCAGACCAAGCCACCCTGGTAGAACAAGTGAAAAGAGTGAAAGAAATTGAAGCTATTGAAAGTGATTCTTTTGTTCAGCAGACATTCAGATCAAGTAAAGAAGTCAAAAAGGTAAGTTTTTATCCACCCATTATGAGTAAACCTTTGGATTCTATCTGAAGAGATGCTTTATTAATGGATTTTACTTAAATGTGTTTCTTCTAATAGATGAAGTAAAGCAAGAGAGTGTCAGCCATGTTGCTGAGAGAGAGAAAACAAATCAGGGAGACTCACTTAATCACTTTAGTACAAGTTTAATTTGTATAAAAAATACTATAAAATGTGTCAGATGTCATTTTTATTTTTAAATTCACCAAGAAGACAAAATAATATGTCAACAAAATAGTTCTATAACAGTAATGCACATTTCTTAACATACACGGTTTTCTTTTCAAATGTGTACATCTACGTTTTGAATTGACATTGCTAGAGAAAAGTTAGAAAAGGGCTTTAATAATAAAAACTAATACCGATATTGTCACATATAGCTTCATTCTTTGCCCAGATGGTTATCATTTATTTGACTGTGGTAAAGGAGCTTTGACTGACATTTTACTTCCATTGAATATTTTATTCTTTCATTCGTTGGTAGGACTGCTTTTAGGAATTAGGTTTCTATTGTAGGAAAAGGTATTCTAGGAAATACATGTATTCTTTAATAACATTCATATAATGAAAATATGGTTATAATTAACACTCTAAAATATTCTCCATCCATAAATTGTATTAATGGCTGTATAATATCCTGTTGATGTCTCCTGACGGTTATTTTTCCTCTGATATCAAATAAGTAGTTTTAACTTCAGAGATTTTTGTTCATATTTATTATCTTTTTAAAATAAAATTTTAAGATGGAATTACTTGTTAAAGGTTAACATTGTTTTAATACATGTTTCCAAGTCACCCTCTGAAAATATTCTACCAATTCAAATTCTACCCAAAAGTTCAAAGAGATAACTGCCTCCCACAGATATCTTGGTTGGCACCCAATCCTATCAGGTTTATCATGTTTACTGACCTAATAGGTAAAAATTGGCCTGTTTCCATTAGCACTTCTTTTGTTATTAGTGAGATTAAAGTCTTTTCAATTACCACATACTTTTTAAAATAATTTATTCAGGAGAGATGTATTGAGCATATACTACATGTCAGGCGTAGGACCAGATAGCCCTGGATAATCTGTGGTCCTTGTGTTGCCATTTTGTTGATTTCCTTTGAACTTTTGGTAGTTTGCCAGCACAATTCCTAAAAAAATTGGGGCCGTGAAATGAACATTCATAAATGTAGTTGCCCATTTTATTTGATCTTATTCTTACATATTATAAGGCCATTCATATATCCTAATGGAATTACTATAATTTATTTTAAAACTTGCTTTCGTCATATTTGTTTGTGAAGTTTACCCTGACACCCAGTTTTTACTGGACTCTCTTATGATAAACTAGCATTTTAATTATGTAGAAATGCTTATTCTTCCATAGTCAATACACTGGGTTTTCTACTAAACAACTTTTTCTCACTTGGTACTAATTGTTAATTTCTCCCTTTAAACTTATTTTCAATTCAATGCCTCCAACAAAGCATGCATTGAAAGGTAGGAAGTAGTGCTAACAGGAGAATATGCTAGAAAACTTCATAAGGTGGCATTTATCTTGGTGAATATACAATAATCTGAAGTCTTACTGGACTTTTATTAGTCACTACACTTCAGAATGATCAGAAGATCAGTGACAGTCTAACAATGAATAAATTCACACTTGACTGAAATATAGAACAAAGGGACAGTTTATTACTTTAGAAAGTGATATCCCTGCCTAGACTCTAAAATATCTGTATCTGCAATATAAGGCGAGGATTCAGGATGCCCAAGAAGCTGAATTATTTATGAGGAGATTACTTAGCAAAAGGAGGTAAATTATCTTGTGGACCCTTTCATCCAGATCATGGAAAGATATGATGGACTATCCCTGATGCATAGCAAGGATTAACTCACTTGAGGACTGAATTACCCATGACCCTAGTTTCAACGGATTTTTCTCCAGGACAGTTTTGTACACTTTGATATAAAGTTTGTATCCCTTAAAAAAAAAGGCTTTTGTATGCTGGCCACCCCTTCAGTTGGTACAGTCTTTGTATAACTGTGTTAATTCCACTAATTAAGCTAGGGAGCTTTTACCAGAAAAGTGGCTATTACCAGTGACATGCTAGACACTGTGTCTCCTGCAACACATATTGATTTAACTAGTTTAACTCTGAAATCGTATTTCTTTTGTCTGAGTTAAGAGGGAATCTGATAGTCCCTGATATATCATTGAGGAACAAAGATGCATCTTGTTTTCAAACTTAGTATGAGTTATTCAACCCTAATGTTGTTGTATCTGGCAGATACCCACCTGTGTTCAAAAGAAGGGTAAATAACCCTATGCAGCATGGTCTTTTGGCCTACTTGAAAGTAGATTTTAGAACTAATTTTTACAAACTAAACCACCAGGTGGCAGCGCTACTCAAAGCCAGATATTTGATAGTAGCCATTTTGAGGTTTTGTTTTATAGTCAAGGGAAAATTTTATCTTACAGTTTTTTTGACTTAAATAAAGTAGCAATTAGTGGTTCTCTCTACAAATTTTTAATTGCCCATTATTAAACAATAACTTCCATGCTCTGATCTAACCTCTGAGAGCTTCACCTTCTATTATGTGTAAGTACTTCTCAAAGAAATCATTAATGTACTGTGTAGATAAAAACAAGATGAGATTGCTTGGTTTATATGGTAGAATCTTATCTCTGCTACCTAAAGAGGTGGTGTCCACATCTTTGACAACTAGAATAATAGCACTCCACATCTTTTTAAGGCAGTTTAACATGGATAGTGTCTCCTAGCTAAGCCCTATCACGCCATGGCTAAGATATGCAGAATGACACGCTCTTACAGTCTCTGTAAGGCAGTATAGACTACCAAAAATCAATGTCTTGAACCTCTTGGATTAGCATATTTCCCACTTGCCCTTGTGCAGAATATTGGGCTTTTTAAATGTCCTTAGTTGTATTAAGGGTCAGTATAACATCACTTAGGGCCACAAACCATCTAGGCACAGTGTGTTGGAGACATACAAATGTTTGAGACTTGGTGAAAAAAAATTACTGACTCCAAAATGTAACAGTAAAGCTGCCAAAACAAATTGAATAAATATTTAAATATCTATAAAAGTTAATATTATCATTAACATTGGCATCATTAGTTGTTAGATTTAGTAGTCATAAGCATCTTAACATTTGAAAACAATTTGTAGAATAGATTTCTCTTACTTTGTAAGAATTCCTAAACATACATGACTGTCCAGATATCTATCCCTCAGATATCTAGCCCTTTTGTCCACAAGGGAATAAATCTCTCCTATGAATGCTGATCAGCTTCCATTAGAATAAAAACTAAAAAATAGAGTATTTTAATTGAATAAAATACATGCCTTAAAAAAAAAGTGGATCTCAATATCATCATCCCCAAACTAGCTCAGAATTTGTCTCCTCTCAAAAATCCACAGCCACCATTTAAATCCAAATCATCATCTTATTCTTTAACTGTTATAGTAGCCCTCTGGTTGTTCTTCCTGATTTTGCTTTTGCATTTCTCTAGTCCAGGACCCATTCAGCAGCCAAAACAATATTTTTCAAGAATAATTAGACTTTACTGACCATCTGACCATTACAGAATAACTGGTACCAAATTTGCCCTCCCACCATAAACAGCTATAGAACTTGACAAGATGTGTGAGGCATTGTTTTTAGGAATGTAACAATAGGCAGCTCAGGAGGGTGATCCTTTGGAGAAGGGAGATAAAAGGTGAGCCCCACAGTTGCCCGACTTTCTGTCTGAGGTCACTTGCCTGCTATGGTGCTGGGAAGTGATACCCATGCAGAGTGGTGATGTGGCTGTGTTAAGGAAGAAATACCCGAAGTTCTGGCCTGCAGTGTCTCACTGTCTCTTTTGCTCACTATACACCAGCGCGTGTGACCTTTTTTCTGATCTTCAAAGACACCAAGCTCTTCTCTCTCAGAATCTTTGTCTTTTCCCTCTGACCAGAGATCTGTTCTTCCTTTTCACATGCCTGGCTCCTTCTAAGTCTTCAGGGCTTAAATTTCACCTCCTAGAGAAGCCATCCCTAGCCACCCAATCTAAAGTAGATGTTTTTCCCTTCCTGATCCCCATCATTCTTTGTCAGCACCTTGTATATTCCTTTATAGCACATACTACAATTTGTGATTATGCATTATTTTGGAATTTATTTGTTTATAATCTGTCAACTCCATTAGCAACATATAATTGCCACTTAGGACAGGGACCATATCTATTTGACTCTGCCTGTGTACCCAGTGCTTAGCAATTAGTAGTGCTCAGTAAATACTGGTTAAATAAATGGATCTCCAACTCTAAAACAAATTAACCTACGAATAGTTTAATTCATGCATATTTTATCCTATGTATATTTTTCTTAGTGACATCTGTTTTTGGCTTTGTTCAGAGAAGTGAAGTGTCCAGAAGTAGATAAGTTGAAATAAATGGAAATTGAAAAACAATAGGCGTGGAACAAATGGGTATAAAAATGGCTACATAACAGAATTAGTCTCCTATTCTTCTTGTTTTTATTTAATTTTACTTTTTAATTTCAGTTTCTCATCTAATCCACTTCATATTATCCCTGTAACCTTGCTGCTACTCAGTCACTCCCTGGCCTTCTTTCTCAGGGAAGAAGACATTGAAATGTAACTAAGTGAGCAGTACTCTGCTGGCTCCTTCAAGGCAGAAGCAATGATTTATTAGTTGTATCCCCAGCGCTTGGTACAGTGCCTGGCACCTGGTGAACATTCAGTAAAGGTGGAATGAATTGGGAGTCTATGGTTTGCATGATGGTATAAGAAATCCTAGAGTTTTATTTTTTTCCAAAGATACATCATACCTTTTTTTCAAACTTTTATATATATATTTTAATATTTTAAGGAACTCCAAGACAACCTTTGAGTTCATCAGCTGATTAATAGATAAATAAAATGTGGTAGATCCATACAATGGGACATTATTTAGCAATAAAGAATATTGAAGTACTGATACATGCTGCAATATGGATGAACCTTAAAAACATTATGCGGCTGGGCGGTGACTCACGCCTGTAATCCTAGCACTTTGGGAGGCCAAGGTGGGCAGATCACTTGAGGACAGGAGTTCGAGATCACCCTGGCCAACATGGCAAGACCTCGTCTCTACTAAAACTACAAAAATTAGCCGAGTGTGCGTGGTGGTGTGCGCCTATAATCCCAGCTGCTCGGGAGGCTGAGGCAGGAGAATCACTTGAACCTGGGAGGTAGAGGTTGCAGTGAGCCAAGATCGCACCATTGCACTCCAGCCTGGGTGACAGAACAAGACTCTGCCTCAAAAACAAAAAATTATGCTAAATGAAAGAACCAGTCATGAAAGACCACATATTGTATGATTCCTTTTATCTGAAATGTCTGGAATGGGCAAATCCATAGAGAAAGGAGATTAATTGTTACCTAGAATGGAAAGGTTGGAATAAATGGGAAATGATTGCTAATGGTATGAGGTTTTGTGAGGGATGATGAAAATGTTCTAAAGTTGATTCTGGTAATAATTGCACAACTCCATGGATATGCTAAAAGCCATTGAATTATGTACTTTAAAAGGGTAAATTGTATGGTATATGAATTCTGTCACTCAATAAGGCTATTTTTTTAAAGATAACCTTTGAATTTACTTTTCATACCTGAAGAGGCCAACTAAATGTTGGATATTTGTTGTAAGCTTGTTTTGATTAATAGAATTTAGATATATGAAATAATGTATCTCTCAATAGTATAGGCACATAAGTACCAATTTCTTAAGAAAAATATGCTCATCATAAGAAATGATGAACGTTTTCTCAGCATTTTTGTATGTGTTATTCCTAAAACAAATACAATATAGTTATTCTTATATTCTATTTCTATATATATAACTGTATTCCTAAATATAATTATTTCTAAAAGAAGCAAATATAAAAATAAAATAACTGTATTTCTAAAACAAACAAATACAAAAGGTAGGGCCTTTTGGGAGATGGGTATCATCTCAAAGGAGACTAATTAAACAGTTATTACTCAAAATCAGAAATATTATTGAAGTGAAACTCTAATTGTGTATTGTGTTGAAATTAATACGTGTTGTTTCTTTCAGTCAGTGGAACCTAGTGAAGTGAAACAGGCAACTTCAACATCAGGACCAGCATCAGCAGTTGCCGATCCACCTAGTACTGAAAAAGAAATAGATCCCAGCAGCATCCCTACTGCTATCAAGTACCAAGATGACAATTCCCTGGCCCATCCAAATGTAATATCCTTAAACTTTACAAATGTCAGTTGAAGTCTAATTTACTGAAATTATTTCAAGCTGTTATCCTTTTGTGCTAACACCAAGAAGACCATTGGAGGAAACAGGTTCATATTCCCTTGGTAAAAGTAGGCATCTGGCCTCCAGGCCATTAGAACTGTTATCTATATTTGAATACAGTAGGGTCCAACTCATGTTGCCTAACTTGTAAACGTATTCTGTCTATGGTTAAGAAAAACAGACAAAGAGAAGCATTTTTTCCTTTTTTTTTTTTTTTTTAGCTGAATTGATCAGCACCATGAGAAGTGTTTGTTTAAAAATCTAGCACTAAACGTTCCATTTCTGACTTAGCTCCACTTTGTTCATTATCTGTGAGCACATCACTAACATCGTACTTTGCTGTCCTCTATGAAATGGTGTAATTCTACTGTGTTTTGAAAAAGTTGTAGGAAATAAACTTCACAAATATAAGGTACAAAATTGTTAACCAATGATGTTGATACTAGTAGTTATTTTAATCCAAGAATTTCTGAGCATTACTAATTCCAAATAGATAGTCATCAATTAAGAGGTCATCAAGAGTTAAACAACATCCAAATCTTGTGTTGAGAGATATATTCTACAAAGGTGGGTTCTGTCATATTAGGTCAAATTCAACTTACTGGGAGACAGTAACATTTTTTCTTTTTCTTTTCTTATTTCAGTTATTTATCGAGAAAGCTGATGCTGAGGAAAAATGGTTCAAGAGGTTAATTGCTCTCCGACAAGAAAGACTAATGGGCAGTCCTGTGGCCTAAGTAATATACATATAGTTGGATTGGATTGTCAGCAATAACATTGGAAATTTAGGTTTTTAAATCCCAATATTAACTTTTTACTCTTAAAAGGATTTTTCTGATTATATATAAAGGTAGTCTCATTTCATTTGTCTCTCATGTAGGCTTGAATATTTGTTGATTTGAATTAAATCAAACTGTGAAAATTAAAACATAAAATTTAAGATTGCATGAAAATGTTATACTGTTAATAAAGCTAATCATAAATAAGTCTGTTAAAATGAATGCTACACAGTAGTGTTTCTTAGTGCAATTCAAAAAATGTCAAGATGTCATTTAAGGACAATTTTGATGAATTATGCATACATAAGAATTGAATTACATGCTGTAAATATGAGATTTCATCTTCCATATGGTATTCAACCATTTTTAAATATTTTATTTCACCATATTGCAGATTTTTAGGCACAATGAAAAGCACGCTAAACCATATAAGCAGAATATGCATGTTAAAGAATATATTTATGGGAAAAAAAATTTTTGAAACTTAAATAAATTGATGATTTTGCTTGGAGATCAGCTTCTACTAGATGCTCCCTTGCAACATGTTAGCAGATCTCAGCTTGTTTTAGAAATCATATGTTCATGCTAGACCTAATCAGTTGGCCAAATACCTATGATAGAGAAATCATTTCTGAGAAAACTGATAAGAGCTCTCACTTCAGTCTTACTTAACCCACTGCTATTCCCTGTGGAGAAATCCAGCTAATTGTTTTGATAAGGCTATCTGCCATTGTAGAATACCTTTCTCTAGTAGCTGAATGACAATCAACTGTATGTTCCATACTAAACATGCCAGAGATAGGACTTTTAGGCCTTGCTTTACAAAACTGGTTTTTAACAGCTGACATGAATATTTCCCGTTTCTATTTTCTCCTGTTGTCCAGTCACTCTAATTTAGTCTCTGTGAAACTGTAGCTCAGAACACAAGATAAGTACAAAAAGTCTTCAGGGTAGGACTGCCAACATATAGGACATTTTAATGCCATCTTCTTTATATTTCTGGGACTATTAAAATTCAAATCTCTGTTGAAAATGAAAAATATGAAACAGTTGCAAACAGTATAGAAAATAAGTGATGATGAAATATTTGTTTTCATACAAACATGCTTTCCCATTCTAAATAGATGCTAGTTTTCTTTTTCCTTAGCTGCAAATAAAAGTGCCCCAAATGAACCGATATTTGTGTGGTTTTTAATATAGATATATACAATTTTAGTGACTTTAAAAAGGGGTTACAGTTTGTGAAATATTTTTATTTCATACTTTGTAATAACTTATAAACTATAGAAGTACTACCACCCTATTGGAAAGTATATTTTAGTGGTCTGGGCAAGAATATAGGTTGCCATTTAGGCCACTAATGATTATCCAGAGGACCTGGGCTAGCCAGTTTCCTCAATATCCCTCATCATCTTATCTATACAACAGTGAAAATCTGGTCTACTTCAAGTATATTTAATACCAGTGTTCCTCTGTGGCAAGTTCCCCAAATACAGAAGCTTGTACTGTGACAGAATTGTTTTTTGGGATTTTTTTTGTTTGTTTTTTAGATGGAGTCTCACTCTGTCACCCAGGCTGGAGTGCAGTGGCGCGATCTCAGCTCACTGCAAGCTCCGCCTCCCAGGTTCATGCCATTCTCCTGCCTCAGCCTCCCAAGTAGCTGGGACTACAGGTGCCTGCCACCACGCCCAGCTAATTTTGTGTGTGTGTGTGTGTGTGTGTTTAGTAGAGACGAGGTTTCACTGTGTTAGCCAGGATGGTCTCGATCTCCTGACCTCGTGATCCATCCGCCTCGGCCTCCCAAAGTGCTGGGGTTATAGGCGTGAGCCACTGCGCCCAGCTGAAAATCAAATTTTTTAAATGAACCAAACTATGGTCCCTACAGGAATTCAGTGACTACTTCGTTCCCTCCTCCCTGGTTTTACATGATTCATTTTTATATATTATTAACTTCATTTACCTGCATGCCTATCAAAGACCACAATATTACCACACAAGCCAAATCAAATTTAATGAAAAGGACTGCATAGAACATGATCAAACATATTGCCTAACTCAAGCTAGCCTTCTTTAATATACTTTTATAGTGAGTCTATAAAGCAGAGTAATTCCTTTCATGTCACTTGATTAATAATAATTTGGATGTACATGAGACCTTAAATGTTTTATGAAACATTGATTTCTTAAGAAATGATGGGTACTGATAATACAGGTTGAGTTTTCATTTCTGACAACTAAGTATATTCTCAAGGAAAATGAAATAAGAACATTTTTCCTGGCACTCTAGTTAAGAGGAGGCAAAGAGCTAAAGATATGAGCACAGAATACTTTGAATCATTCACCTCCTTTGCTTCATCATCCTAACATGTGAAATGAGGATACTAATTGCAGACCTGCCTACTTTGATTTTTCAGTAAAATGACATAAAAGAAAGCCCTTCATAGAAACTTCTGCTATTTATGCCAAGGGAACATTTGACGTGATAGACATCTTAGTGAAATGTGGAACAAATAGTTGCTATACTCCAACTTAAATGTGTTTATGTCTGTTCTTGAGCTACCATGGTCAATAGTTGCCATCCCAGCGATGTCCTCAGCCCTCCCTGCTCTTCTTCCCTGCCAAGGTCATAAGAAACCTTACTTGCTCTGCAATTAGTGACCTACCATCTACTTACTTGAGAAATCTTAGGTCTTCTTCACAGTCAGATTTACCCATTTATTCATTAATATCATGTTGAGTACCTACTTCATGCTGGGCACAGTGAGATGTGCTTGAGGAATGCATATCTGAATCCAGTAGAGATCCTGCCCTCAAGAGGCTTAGTTATGAAGCCCAGACATGTAAATGATGTCAGTGATATAGTACTTAGTGGCAGAGGAGAGGATTTGGTTGCAAAGGAGAGAAATTACTATAAGTTAAAAAATTAAGGAAGGCTTCATGGAAGAAATCACAATCGAACTGAGTCTTGAAGGACAAGAAAGCTGGAGCCACAGGAACTCCCAGTCACCCACATATATCTTCCTGATAGCTATTCTAGAAGGCTGGGAACTACTGCTGTTTTGAACAGAGTCCCTCTCATGAAATACCCAAGTGGCCCTGCTCAATCAATCTTATCAAAAATCCAGGCAAAATTTCAGGTACCTGGTAACCCTCTGACTCTCTATTTCTTTATTTTTGCGGAGAATAAGCTGAATAAGATAAGTCTTGATTTGGCCACAAGCATCAACAATCTTGCATACTGCCACTTGTCAGCCAAGATGACAGATTCTGCAATGGAACTGAAAAGAGACTTGCAGTGCCGCTAAAAAAGAACTGCATCTGCCAGTGAGGGCTCGCACGACCATGTGGACCACTGTGTGTGCCGTTACTCTCTGTTTTTCTACTCTGTACTGTTATAGAAAACATCGTTTTGGAACTGAAAGACAATTCGTTTGCCTGTGGTTAGGTCCCTCCCCAGATTTTCCTTTGATTTGTGCATCAAATGAAAATCTTTAAGTGAGCAAATAAGATAGTAACAAAAACTAGAAATGAAATAAGACATAGAACATTTTCGGCCAATAAACCCTAGATAGAGTTTATCCCAAAGCTTTCACCCATGTTACTCTTTCCTTTCCTCCTTTCCCTACCCCAAAATTCCTTGTGAGTATTACAAGAGATTTTAAATCAACTCTTGGTCATTACTGAACTGATACAGTGTTTGGATTATTTGGACAATTTTTTAATGCCCTCCTGTAAGCCTTACTCTTTATAACTCCTTTATAGAATAATGGAAAAGTAAATCCTCTTGAAAAGAAAACATTTGAGTCAGTAGAGCACAGCAAGAATACAAATGGATATAAGAAAGAACACGTTGTAAAGTCTGTAATCATCTTAACCTTTTATCATACGGATGGACATTGATTAATATATTCAACTCTATTTGGTAAGTTTTTTCTAAAAGAAAATGCTGTCATATATTTCCAAGTTATTTTGGTTATCATTGTTTCCCCAGAATCTGGTCTAATTCCTGACATAGAGAAGGTCTCAATAAATATGTTTTAATGAAGAATTAATTAGCCCATCTTAAATAATAAATCTATTTAGCAGTCTGTTTATTTAAATTGCTCAAGCTATTTGGAGTCAGTGCAAAAATAAATAAATAAATGTTACAACCAAATTATTTTGGTTTCTCTGATTTATATCTCCAAATGACTCTGAGCTGACAGAGGTTTTTGGATGTCATAGGGAAGTACACTGTATGTGGTGCCTTCTCTATAGCATTAGGAACTAAATAGTGGGGCTGGAATTTAAGCAGGGATCTTATTAGTCCCATTTTTGCCCAGAATTTTTCTAGTCTGACTCTTTTTGTAGAAGTATTTCAAAATGTGTTGATGTAACCACTCTGGGTCCACCAACTGGCACCTATCATTGCTGTCCTTCCAAAGCTGTAGGTCAACTTTCAAGAAATAAAGACTACGAATAGAGTAAGACAACACTTTAAAATCAACAATGTAATCGTTTTACTTTTAGGTCTTGAGAAGGAATGGCAAAATGATCCCAGTGCAGTTCTGAAAGAGTGATGAACTGAACTGACCCTCTCTCCTTAGCATCTTGTATTGTTGTTCAGGCTTGTTATCTCACAGTGTAAAAAACATAGTATAGTTCAGGCTCCCTTTATAATAATCTTTTAAAATATTAGCGAGGTGCTGGGCGTGGTAGCTCATGCCTGTAATCCCAACACTTTGGGAGGCCGAGGCAGGTGGATCACCTGAGGTCAGGAGTTCGAGACCAGCCTGACCCATATGGTGAAACCCCGTCTCTACTAAAAATACAAAAATTAGCTGGGCGTGGTGGCAGGTGCCTGTAATTCCACCTACCTGGGAGACCGAGACAGGATAATTGCTTGAACCCCAGAGGTGGAGGTTGCAGTGAGCCAGGATCGTGCCACTTCACTCCAGCCTGGGCAACAGAGCAAGACTGTCTCGAAAACTATATATATATAAACTAGGCCTACCATGGTAACTCATGCCTGTAATCCCAGCACTTTGAAAGGCTGAGGCAGGAGGTTTGCTTGAGGCCAGGAGTTCCAGACCAGTCTGGGCAACATAGCAATGTGTCCGGAATGTATTCCTTCCAGTGGGTTCTTGGTCTTGCTGACTTCAAGAATGAAGCCGCAGACCTTCATGCTGAGTGTTACAGCCCTTAAAGATGGTGTGTTTGGCGTTTATTCCTTCAGATGTTCAGATGTGTCCAGAGTTTCTTCCTTCCGGTGGCTTCGTGGTCTCACTGACTTCAGGAGTGAAACCACAGACCTTTGCAGCAAGTGTTACAGTTCTTAAAGGTGGTGCAGACCCAAAGAGTGAACAGCAGCAAGATTTATTGTGAAGAGCGAAAGAACAAAGCTTCCACAGCATGGAAGGGGACCTGAGAGGGTTGCCGCTGCTGGCTGGGTGGCCAGCTTTTATTCCCTTATTTGGTCCTGCCCATGCCCTGCTGATTGGTCCATTTTACAAGCACTGATTGGTCCATTTTACAGAGTGCTAGTTGGTCCATTTTACAGAGTGCTGATTGATGCATTTACAATCCTTCAGCTAGACCCAGAGCGCTGATTGGTGCGTTTTTACAGAGTGTGCATTGGTGCATTTACAATCCTTTAGCTAGACACAGAGTGCTGATTGGTGCATTTAGAATCCTCTAGTTTGACAGAGAGAAGTTCTCCAAGACCCCACTCGACCGAGGAAATCCAGCTGGCTTCACCTCTCAGCGAGACCTCATCTCCAAAAAATAAAAATAAAATTAACAAGGTGCAATGGTGCATGCCTTTAGTACCACCTACTTTGGAGGCTGAGGCAGGAGGATTGTTTCAGCTTAGGAGTTCAAGGCTGCAGTGAGCTATGATTATGCCACTGCCCTCCAGCCTGGGTGACAGAGCAAGACCCTCTCTCTAAACAATAAATAAATAAATGAAAATGAACTGCTAAAATCCCATGTCTTGAGTAAAATCCATAGCTGCAGTCTGTGATTCTATAAATGTTCTATGAAAATTGTGTTATAAACTTGAATTGAAAATCATAAGTAATTGAAAAATAAATCTTTTTTAAAATAGCACAATGGATTGAGTGACTATATTAAAGATTGGGTAGATTTTTGAAACAAATTATATAACTAGATTGTTTAGCCATATTATAGCTTTT